CCTGGATTTGAATATTTTGTTGAAGATGGTAAGTGAGAAGCAGTGTTAATGAATGGTTTATAACGCTTTGGATGTGACGACACTGACGTACTGTACGCCTTAAGCCACGAATAGATGAGGTACGGTGCGGAATAATTGATACAAACGGAAATAGAAGAAGTGAACACACGAGGTACGAGTCCGGACACAATTTGCTTCTTATATTTTCTACTGTGTCAATAATCCCGTAACGTTCATCGTACCGGACATCGAACCTCGTCTTTTCGCACCTTTATTAGGACTGAAAACTTTAATGGTGCAAACCGATGTTAGGGAAAAGGCTAACAGTCTCTATAACCATCCCGACTCAAATCTTACAGCCAAAAAGACTTACCATCGTAAATCATAGATATACCAAATATTAGCTCTTAACAAATCTTATAACGTGTTCTTATGCTTTATACCATATAGGTACTGCTTGTGAATCTCCAGCAGTCTCCAAAAGTCACCGATTATTATAGGTACTTGAATCGTTGTCTCACAGGCCTTGGTTTAATGTTCTATTATTTTATATCGTGTAGGTCCTGCTTGTGGACTTCCTCCGGTCCCAAAAGGTCATCAAATATTAGAAGTAATTGGATCTGCTGGTAATTATACGGCAAGATATAAATGTGGTCAATATTACATTCATCGTCAAATAGGCGAAACACGATGTATTGGTGATTCAGACTGGACGGAAACACCATGCAAGGGTAAGCATACTATCAACAACTCAGTTTCACAGCCTCTCGAGACTAAGGGTACCAATAGGGTAAGGCTGACTAAATGTGGAGATCTGTAGAGCGCATTGACGCAAGCCTCCCATAGAACGTCTGAGAGAGATATCTCTCCTAAAAAGAATTTGAAAAATAGATTTCTAACATTTATATTGATGCAAAAATGTAGAGTCGTATAAATATCATGTTTAAATTGATTGTTAAAAATTAAGTGAGGGCACAATTTGGGGGTTCAAAACATTTTCTAGCAGTTGGGGCCTCTCTCCGGCCAATTAAAGTCACTTTTACAAGCGAATACATCAGCAATTCCCATAACTCGTTATGATATCTACTTTTGGTTTCGCTACCCCACAACTCAATAGTTGAAATCACTAGTTTACAATCTAGGGTTTGGCCAACTGAATTTATTTTGAGTTGTGAGCTTACAGTGGATAAGAAATAACGAAACGAAATCGTAATCTAATTTTTATATGCTCGCATGAAATGGGGGGTGGGCGTATATTGTCGCCACTGATGTCCGTCGGTCCGTCCTCCCGTCCACAATTGCCCGTAAACACTCTAGAAGGCACAATTCCTGTTTGATTTTGACTAAACTTGGTGTGAACGTTTGTAATCACCGAAGAATGAATCCCATTGAAATTCAGAAAAATAGAAAAATATTTAGTATGAGTTATTGCCCTTGTTCTCGAAATGCCCATAAACACTCGATGAAACTTGGTGTGAACGTTTGTAATCATCCAATTATAAATCCTATTAAACATAATCGAAAAATATTTAGTATGAATTATTGTCCTTGTTTTTTGAAGACGCGTTCAATTTTAACCTCATCGACACTCTAGAAGGCACAATTCTTGACGCTTTTTGACAAAATTTGGTGAAAGTGTTTATCATCACTCATGGATGAACCCTATGGAAAATCAAAAAAGGTTTTATAGAAGCTATTGACGTTGTTCATGATAACGCTTTCAAATTTTAGCACTAATAGGCATGAATGGAAAGCTATCTTAATCAGACTGACTCAGGGGAAAACAGATA